ACAGGGAGGTGCCCTGAAGAATCGTCTTTGCGAACAGTGGACATCTAAGTACGTGCAATGTACCGGTACATGTACATGTATGTGTACATTGTATCCATGTACGTTGCCCTTTTTGAACAAAAAAATCTGCGTCTGCTGGGAACTGTCTATACACGTGACAGGGCTCAAATTACTTGCTCTTTTATGATCTGTAAGTAGAGTGGGAGTGCGAAGAACTGGCTTTGGGATGTTTTTTTTCTTTCTTGTTTTCTTTTTTCGCTCTCTTGAGTGAAAGTCTTGGAATGCTGACGACAAGCCCAAGGGTACTTCATCACGATGGTCATTGCACCCATCTAGATCGGCCCTCCCCCCCCCCTTAACTCCCGCCGACATTAATGGCAACGCATGTTTGCGTATTCAGCGTGAAGACATGTTATGGAGGATGATCAAACCGATGCTCACAATGCATCTGAATTGACTGTTACTCCCAGCTGACTTGTGGTGTTATTCTTCAGAAGCTTAAATCCCTTTGTGTCTCTGGGCGTTGTGCTTCCCTAGCGTTACGTACAGCTAACAGCTCCACCCATGAAATAAGTCACTGCTTACGGCAGGTTGTACGGCCCAAACCGATCGTGCACGAGTGCCATATGCGGATGAAATCTGCTGGGGGATGCGCGTTCCAAAATGTTGTTTTCAAAGGCAACGACAGAAGGGACTCGCTGGAAATAGTGATTGTGTTTTTTTGGCGTGTTTCCTGGGGCCAATGTATATTTATGCGGACTTGGCATCACTCTGACATTTCTTTTCCATAATCTTCAAAGATTTATGTGACATTTCTTTTCACTATCGAACGACATGTACATGTACACATGTACTGGTACACTCAATTGAGCACTTACATAATGCCTTTTGTTGCGCACCAGTGCCTTTCACTACATAACAGCACATTTCGCATAGTACCGGTATCTTTCTTCTCAGTTTGAGCATGCGAACCTGGCTTTTCCACACTCCCAAAAAAAATCACCCTACATGTAAAAAAAGATAAAGGGGCATGAAGCAAGGGAGTGCACCCTGGATCGGTATACATGGATGCACCCACGTTTCCTCTATAAAAAAAAGTTTTTTTTTCATGGCCTCCAAGCACCAGCAGAAATGCTGGACAGATACTGGTACCATTACAGTCGCCCTGCCTTTAAGCCCCCCCCAAAAAGTCTCCGGTTTCTGGTATGGAGCTTGCCCAAAAAGTGATGCGGCGACGTGGCTTTTTTTTTTTTTTTACCTGTTTTTTTGGCTTCAAATGTCGACTGATGACTGCAAATGGTGCCCGACTAAACGTAGTGCAAATATATGGGAGTCCAGAGAGGCCACATAAACCTATTCTCGATCATAACCCCATCTAAAAACACGTTAAAACTGTGCAGCAGCAGGATTCCAGTCAAACCAGTGAGTGGTGGTTTTGAGACATCATCTTTCATTGAAAAAAAAAACTTTTTCATTTTGCCGACGCGCATGGCTACGGCGACGCGCGCGCATACCAGAAACCGAAGCCATAACTTCCACAATGCTTTTTGCGGTTTTTGGTCGGCTCTTTATATTTCTTTTCTCTGACAGAACTATGGAACAAGGCCAAGTGTTTTAAAATGGCTCTGTAATCTCTCAGTCAAACATGTACATCTGTTAGACTTCAACTTAAAGAGAACAAGTTTTCAATAAATTAAAAGCTTTCTGTGAGCAAATATGTGACCGGCTCCACAAAAAAGGGTATTATGTCGCAAAAATATGAAATTGAGTTATATACATGGTTGGAAAGCCCACAACGTAAGCTTTCATTTGGTATATAATAGAGCTCAATAGCCCCTCCTGTTCTGGAGATATGACGTATTTGCATATTAATTACTTCCGTGGAGTTCAAATAACACAACTGAGAAAACAGGCTTTGAAATAGCTGGCTTTGTTGTAGAACAGAACGATGCACACAAAACGTTTGTTTTTTCCAATGTGTTCATCAAAATCAACATTTGTGTGAATGAACCCAAACACCTTAGGTATAAAGATGTCATTCATGACAAAAAATGAAAATCACATTTTGACGAAATTTTCACCATCTCAACGTTGAGCGGGCCATTACACAATAATGCTCAGCGCGACTTAATACCCTTTTTTGTGGAGCCGGTCGCATATATATTCGCAGTTTCGGTACATGTAGTTACATGTACATGTATACGAAATTGGAGATTATGTGGAATGTATGAGACTTCAGTGCATATATATAGAAATAAATGAGTGAGTTTCAGTGCTCGGCCGCTCTAAATTGTTCAACAAAACTGTTTTCGCCATTTCCATTTCCTTGCTTGGTATTTATTTACATGATGTAGATACAAACAGGCATGCAACTTTTCCTCGGATCAGCTGATTTCCTCTTTTTTGACTTCCCATACATGTATGTGCCATTGAAAACAGAAAAACACTGTACAAAGTCTGGGAAAAATGTTAATTTCCTCTTTTTTGGTGATTTCCCAGTTGCATGCCTGTACAAAAGAAATTTATTTTCTGACGGAGGAACGGAGGAAGAAAGTACACACACCCATGTCGTTGGCTGGAAAATGTATTTTCATCATTATTACAAACTCCGTAAAGTAGGCAAGCTGTAAAAATGTGTAAATTGTGCACAGGACATTTAGCAAGTACTTGTCTTTAATTTGCTGTCGCAAAATTGCTTACTCTGTACCCTCCCTGTATAGCTGCGCCTCGGCTAATGCGGATGTCAACATTTCGACGTGTCAATTCTGCGCATTAAGTTGTATTATTAACACTGATTGATTCGTTGGGCACACCGCTCATGTACATTCAAACATGCCCGGCAAGTGGGAAGGCCGGAGTCGATGTACTCTCCGCGGCAAGTCGTTAGCTGTATTACCAGGACTCACCGCTGACACATAATCGCAAGGTGAATAAACACGCACACGCTCAGGTACAAATTTAAATACATTGAGCCTGCAATGTTTTTGTCTAGCTAAATGCAGTATGCGCAGACTGTTTGTATGCCGGTAGTTGGAAGTTCACATCCAGCCATTGACCGTGTGTGTTTGTGTAGGTCCTCAGGTGATACAGGTGCCTCATACATTTTGATTTTGGTCATGAGAATGGGCACAATAAGACTCAGGGATAAGAAAATAAATGGCTTTAAATCTGTCCAGTATTATCAGGCATGCAACTTTTCCTCGGATCTGCTGATTTCCTCGTTTTTTTACTTCTCATGAAAGCCATTACAAATTGAAAAATACAGTACAAAGTCTTGTGTGGTTTCGAATTTCCTCTTTTATTCGAAATTCTCAGTTGCATGCCTGTATTATACATAAAATGAATTAAACTGCTGCAAACTGCTCACTGACTGGATTGACCTGAAATAATATCAAAAATTAAAGCGGTCTGATATGTCAGACTTGGCAAGACCTTCTTCAAAGGCAAAACATTATACATGAAATATACATACAATTACATGTGCATGTACAGACAGTTGTGAATTCTATACACCCGAGGACAATGCTTTGTGTTTCCCTTTGTCCCTGTAATATAACACTCTTCCGTAGACTAAGCACATAAATGTACGATCAAGGATGGTTTTCAACATAAGACCCAACGCTCGAGGACTGAAAGGATCGTTTGTTCTCCCTTTGCGTGTCTGTCCTCTATCGTAAAGCCATTTATGTACACGTATTGCCATGCATACACCATCCTGCCTGTATGCACACGGGCAAATTACGTTGAGCCTGAGGTGTGTGTACAAATTACTGGGTTTTTCTTTTTAGGTTTATTTTTTCTTTGAAATTCAGGAAGTGATACTCCAGTAGTATAAATTAATTGGATTGTTTTTTTACTCTTGGCCTAGTTGAATGCAGGATGTGGACGGACTGCATATTTACGTTTACTACTGACAACAGTATTAAAACTTTGCTTTATTACATTTTGTGTACTTAACTAGAGCAAACATCCTGTCTCAATCCCCTGTGTTTGAAAACCTACAAGTACATGTACCATTATATCAAACAAATTTTTGTGGCTCTCATAATGTTTGTTGACATTTTCCACTGACTCCACTGTGTTGAAATTTCAACACAAAAAAGTACTTTTTGTACAAAGAATAAGTTTTCAAAAGGACGAAATGAAATACATGTACATGTAGTACAATCAGTTTTGAAGTGTCACCTGAGTTTTTTTCAAATTGTTTTCATTTTTTTTTTTCTGAGCAGTTGGCACATGTGTGATGTCCAACCCTAACTTCACCCTCGTTGTTCAACTCAAAAACTATATTACTCTGGTAAAACCTTCCCTGGATCTCGTGCTTGTGAATGTATCTAACCAAGCCAGATGGCCCTGGCATCTGTATGCTACTCCTAGCTCTCAAACACCCAACACCCCCCCCCCCCCCTTCCTTACCTAACACGCCACCCCAATTGAAGTGACGCGCTTGGCAGCACCTTGCGTGCGCGCTTGTTAAACCGCTAAGCTGGTGGCTCCAGCAACCGACTCAATTAGCCAGAGTGGCCGGCCATTATCCCTCGGCCGCCGCGCATACCGTGGCCAGCTCCTTCAGATGGAGTGTTTCGTCGTTTCTCTGCGTTGATAGCTTTGGAGTGTCAGTGTAAATGGGAGGAAATGCCTGCCTTCGGAAATTAATCTCGGTTTCTCTGGGATTTTTTTCCATTTTGCGCGCACTTTTTGGTTTAATGGTCGGAGCCCTCCAATTTTATGGTTTATTACTGTCTGTGATTGCGGTTTTTTTTTTGGTTTTTGGTTTTTAAGATTCATCATGTCATCCAAGTAAACACTTTCATGACCTGTATTTAAGTTACATGTACGATCAATTCCATACCGGTACCGTAAAATAAGGTTGTCTTGGTTACCACTTTGAAATGTCATTGTGTTCATAATTGTCAATCTGTTGATGTACGCTTGTACCTGTATTGCCGTGTCATTAAATATATATTTTTTTTCTGTTGTCGTTTCTGTCTATGTTTCAGGCTGTTGTTTTGTGACTTACTTCACACGCCAGGCGGCCATAGAAGCACAGAAAAAGCTCCATAATCTCCACAGGATGCCCCTTGTAAGTAATTTAACCACTTCATTTATGGTCTAAACCAAAGATAAATCATGAAAAAAAGCAGTGGCGGAGACAGGAAACCAGACCCCAACAGAAATGACTGTTTCAGAGTGTTACGTACATGTACGTGTTGGCATCAAATGTGATGCGCAATGTTTGCGCTGAGGTGGTGTGTTTGAATGGATAACTGTCACATTGGGTTTTTGTAGTGAGTGAAAAAAAACCAATGAGTTACCTGTTCTTTAAGTTTAATCCCATATTTTAATCCCGTCTTCTAATCTCATTAACCCTGAAGCCTTCTCCAATCCAAAACCTCCTGCTTTTTGTAGCCCCCCGCCCCACCCCTGTACCTGTATGTGTACCTGTTATTCCTCTGTTCCCTTTTTTCCCCTCAAATATTCCTGTTTTTGCTTCTGTTTCCAATCCCCTCCTCTTTTTACCTCAACCTCCCCCCCCCCCCCCCCCCCCGCCGCCCCCTTTCCCTCCTTCCTGTCAGTATCACCCAAAACTCAACAATGCAAGCAACATCTCTCTCAAGCCAGAGCAGTTAGTCTTATTGCAGTTTGTTCCTTTCATCCTGCAAAGTTGTTACAAACGTACGTAATGAGCGTCAACTGGTATTTTCATCTAGATACACGTGTATGTCTTGTACGCACGTGCAAAATGTGTACGCGTACTACTGTGCGTTTGTACATTTTATAGATGTTCCCATGTACTGTACATTGTACATACTTGCATTAGTTTAACTGTGTAGTGCGTGTTCGTGGGTGTGTTCATCTATTCAAACCGTGGACGAAAAATTCCAGAGAACAAAAGAGAACAATATCGTTCACGATTCCCAGCATACGTCCGCGATTGGGATCGTGTACAAAACCTATGGGAGTACAAACTAAAGAGGGACAATAGGACGTCCACGATCGACGGTGAACACACGTTTGGGTGCACATGTGTGTGTACATAGTTGGACACAGTGACTCTCTATAATAACAAATGTATACATATGGTAGTTGTAATGGAAACTCTAAAACACAGAAACATTTTGAAAGTCCCATGTACCGGTACATGCATGTATCATTGTACTTTTCACATGTTCACGTACTATGCTGTAACGTGAACATTGCGTGTCATTTGATTTGATTTTAAAAAATGTACTTTTATAACCTTTTTATATTTGAAGAACTTCAATTTTTTTTTTCATTAAAAAGCCAATTTGGTTGCAAACAGTCTGTCAAATGTAATTATGAAATTAAACAGTCAATCCTTAATTGACATTTCGGGCTGACATAATCAACCAGCAGATGACACTCTGGAGTTACTTAGGTGGCATTTCTTTGATATTTGCCTCCGAAAGAAATATTTTATTCATGACCCTGGGGGAAGACCCTTCTGGCGTTGCGTGTTTCTGATTCCCCCCCCCCCCTCCTTTCACCGTCTCCAGCGTCAAGATGCCTGTGATGTGTTTATCTCCTAAGCAAATTAAACTCTATTCCTCAGAGTCTCGCAAAGTATCTCCTTCCTCCACATCATTGGCGATGGTAATACCATTCTGACAAAATGCCATTACCTGCCCAAATTCCAGCATTCGCCTTCATCTGTAGGTACATTTCTACATCGTGTTCAGGCGATTTTTATTTTCACTTAGGCTGAAAATATCTGTCGGTAAAAGTATCAAATTCTCTAATTTGATTGGCCCCAGCGCGTAGCCAAATGATGAATATTTGATTGGGGAGCAGGGAGGGGGCATGTACTTTAGGGTACAAATTTACCACCCCCTTGCCTGTTCCTGCCGATTTCCCTGCCGATTTCTCAAATGATCACCCACGCAAACAAGCTCAGCAATCCTGTTTCTGGGACTTACACATGTATGAACTCTGAGCAGGGTTGTAAATCTGAAGAGTTGTTCCATCTGAAGAATTAAGGACAAAATGTGGCCACGGTTTCTTTCGCAAGAATGCCATTACACCATCCAACTGTAACCTTACATGTACATGTACACATCCAGGGTAGAATAGCTACAAAAAGTAATTTACCTGGGCGGTTCAATGCATCTGAAGACTGAAACATCAAAATTCTACAAACTTGGTGGCTGTACTGTGGCTCTCTTAATCACATTCCACTTTGTATGTAAGTGGCAAGTGCACCCTGCATCTATAAGAAATGTTGATTGATTGAATGCATTTCATGCAGATCTCTGGATATCAGAAGCAAAATTTTCCAAGGACAAAAATGTTGAATAACCAGTACATATTTTGTAGATGTACATGTACATTATGTAAATTTGTTTATTTCTTACTTTTCCATCATGTACATGTGTACTGTAATATATACAAACACTTTTCATGACATCATGACATTTAAAAATTGTGTTTAGTTCCTGAAAGTATCAATAGTTTTCACACTTTCTGTATCAATTCAGATAGAGTGTACTATACCCAATGTCCGCGTATACGTGTACAAGTTTGTACTTAAATTCCAGTCATTGTTTGCACTTGTACTGTACATGTGTACTCGTACAAGTACTTGCTGTAATAACACGGATGAGCGAATTTTTTGAAAATTTCTGACCTTCAAAATATGATTTGATACTTCAGTGAAAAGCCTTGGCTCACGACCAAATCTGTGCAAACTGCATACGTTTTAACAGCAAGTGGTGCTTTATGTGCATGTACGTACATGTACCGTATACGTGTACGTGTGAAAAGTGCATTAATTTTTAACAAATACATGTACTGTGAACATGTACGTACATGTACATGTATGTACATTTACATGTACATCTCTATTCAAAATTTGCTCGTTGTGATGTAGAACATGGTGGGTTTTTTTTTAATTTTATTTTCCTATACCTGACGATGATACAAATGGCATCTCAGTTGGAGCTGGGGAACAGTTTGCCAATGAGGGTGTACAAATTTAGTTGACTGACATTCTACATGTACATGTACAACCGGTTATAACTTGTTAAGTACCAGTGCATCAAATGTACAGTACGTTACTCTGCTGAACATTACATGTTCGTGTAATGGTCAAGAAAAAAGAAACAGTCAAAAAGTAAAATGGCAGAACAAAATTTTTGGAACTTTGTCAACTCTCTGAATTTGTTTATGGTTTTGACGGAAAAGGTTTGGGAGGGAAAAACTTAAATGTGATCTTTAAAACTGTTTTAGCAGCAAAACCAAATTTTTGGAACTTTGTCAACTCTCTGAAATTTTGTATGGTTTTGACAGAAAAGGTTTTGGAGGGAAAAAGGTAAATGTGATCTTTAAAACTGTTTAACAGCCTGGTCGCCGATAGTAGTACTTGCTTTCAGCTCAGGCCATCATTGACAGCTAGGCCCTTAACTACCTGTCATGTCTGTACATGTACATGTACAGGTAGTTTAAACCCACATGTTCATAACTGTTCCATCACACTTGTTATCCCCTTACTAAATATATAAAATGGCCTCAATTATATTGAAAATTATTGTAAAACAAATTTAAATTTGCCTTGCTACATGGATTTGCTCCTCTTACATGTCTTACATGTGCATCCGTAGATTCAGATACATTCATGAGTACGAATTGGTCTCATATTTGCACCTGTCGAGTTGAAGGATAATAATTCCCATCAGTTCCTGACATGTACATGTACCCCTACATATTGGTACTTTTGCTTCCTGTGGATACTTAACCTGAAGAAGACACAATCGAATTGATCGGTGTCCAGCCTCCGCAATTATGTATGTGAATTGACCTTGTGTGTCAATGCAAATCTGTCAGATTTGATCAAATACACGTATGTATATACAAATCTGCGATTGTCGAAAGTTCAAATAGAGATGGTTTCCTGTTGGCCCCGTGTCCCTTTTCCTCTCCTTCATGGCCCGAGGTGATTTTGCCGTTCCGTGTTCCCTGAGCGAGCGAGGGTACACGTCTTTATCCTCTCCAGTTATTTATTCTACGTTGTCAGATTGTTGACAAGGTGCAATCATTGCCCGGTTTATGGTCAATAAGTCGGTGTCTGGTTTCATCCCCCAAGGTTCCCCTCTTCAGGCAGGGTCTGCTTTCATTTGATTTGCTACAGAGAGCAAGAACAGGAGAGCAGCACGTGTCAAGGGTTGCATCTGTTGGTTTGTCAGGCTAGCTGTCAGTCTGTCAGTCCTCTCGGATGGACTCCCTTTCCTCGCCATCTTTATTCATCAGTGTCAATCTGATCACGTTATCTGGCATACTGTACGCGCGTACTTAAAATCTCAGTCAACATCATCCATGTCCCTACGCTCCTTGTATCCTGGTGGGTTTTTTTTTAGAATCTTCCCCTTGTTTTAACGACAGTCTCTGTCCATCGGCTTCATTTCGGGAGAAGTCGCGCAGTGTTTCATTTGTACGCACGATCTCGCCAAATAAACACTGTAAATCAGCCTCGCACATGTATCTGCGCCGACTTTGTGCACAAGAAATGCAAGTGTGTGTTTAATAGGGAGGCTGTCAGGAGAAGGCTCAGTCAATAATTGTGGAAGAAGAAGGGCCTACTTCTTTCAATTTGAAACGGAGTTGAAGCTGAAGACAGCTTAAGAGATCACCATCTGGAGAAGTGCTTTCTTGCAATTTTGAGCACAGTGTGGTTGCGACGATGTGACACTTACTTGAACAATGTACATACATTGTACATGTACATAGTATGTACAGTTATTGGATTAGTAAAGAATTACCGGTAACCAACTTTATGTTGTTGTTCTGATTCCTTGCAATCACCTCAGTCCCTTGCCAGACTTTTGCTTTTCCCCTTCTTATAATTGATCACAGCTCAAGTGAACCGACATGCTTTAAATGCGTTTGTTTTATTCTTGTTGTTGAAACCTCCTTTGAGTGGCCCCTGTGTTTGTACAGCTGACAGATTCCACAATGACAAAACAATCATACAGTTAGCTAGGATTTATTTTGAGAAGGTGCAAAATTCAGCCCCTCAATTTTCCGAGGCAGCAAAGTCTCACCAGTGCCTCCTTACAAAGAACTTGATTGTCTAACAGTCTTTAATCTAGACGTGCCCTTGATGAAGGGAAAATTTGTTACCCCCTTGGGTGATTTACTAGAAACCTTCCTCACTCTTGCAAAATCCCACACCATTTGATAACTCAACACCCAAACTGTTGGACTCTGATTGTGGGTGGTACGGTATGTCTGACCCCAACATGTAAAGTATAATCAGTTTACTAGTGCAGTCCTCACTCCAACAGAATCAGTCAAAACACGCAGTTGGATTTTGATTGGTTGGGTTGGTTAGGGTTAAATCATTCAGATACCCAAGCTATATATATGTTTTATGAAATGAAATTGGTATACGAAAGGCTGAAACCTATGATTGATGTGCCCAAGACAATAAACATGGACACAAATTAAAACAAACGTGTACATGTACATAAATCAAAGAAAAACAAATGTGTACACATTGTAAAACTCAAGTTAAAACAAAAAATTTAAAAATTCAGTAAACTAATGACCAGTGGACTACATGATATTTTTTTGTTGAGATACAGGAGGTTTGAATGAATCTGACAATACTTTACAAGTTTACATTCAGTTGAGCAGTCCCATCTATCATTTGTAATAAATGTGGATTTTAGGAGGAATATCTGGAAAACGTCAACAATTTACCTTCATCTCTTTCCTTCTTTTTTTTTTTCATCCCCCAGATGAAGAATGCTATTCAAATGAGGCCTGCCGATAGCGAATCTAGAAACGGTAAGCCAGGCTCTAAGACGTTGTTTTTCACCTTGTCTCCTCTTCAGATGGATCCTATCCAATTTCCAAGCCGTTACACACGCATCTCTCCCATCTGTGACCCTTATTAGCAATTCCTCTTCCGCTGCCCAATAATCTACAATCTTTAAATTTGAAAGTCAAAAGATGTTCATGCCTCTTCCGTTTTGGATAGTGGCTAGCAGAGATTTTTGGAGAGGAAAAACAACTGAGTATATTGGTGGAAATAAAAAAGAATGTGATCAAAGTGTGAATTTTTCTTTGTAGACAGCTGGCCTTTAATTGATTGCAATGTTTAGTCCATCACATCTGATGGAGTTTAGCATTGGCGACACATGAATTTCAATATTAGGTTTACACTCCACATAGTTGTGTCGGTGAAGGGCAAAGTGTTTCAATTACAGGTACGTATCTTCTAATTCTCATCGCGAGATGAAACAAAACCAAAAAAAGGGAAAAAAAAAAACTAATTTCAGCATAAAAATTGACTTTTTAAAGTCAATTTTGCCTTGTCCACAGTCGAAGACAGAAAGCTGTTTGTTGGCATGGTATCCAAGAATGCCACAGAGAACGACATCCGGGTGATGTTTTCAGCGTACGGCTCAATTGAGGAATGTCATATATTACGGGAAAGCGAAAAGAGCAAAGGTGAGTGTTGATTGGCTTGTCTCCACTTGAACCGTGTGTATACTCGTTACAAGGGGCTGTCTTAATGATTGCCAAAATTCAGGCCATTTTTTTGTCGTCCGTTAGACGCCTCAGCAAAAAAAAAATTTGCAAGTCAAAAATCAACTGAGAACCGATCACAAACAATGTACATCTTATGACATTTTTGCTGGGGGCTTGTTTTTGCATGACAAAATAATGAACCCAACCAATCAAAATGTTTTGATTAATAGGCCTTTTTACAAATCTTGCAAATATGAGCCACATACTGTAGTGAAGTTGGTTTCCCCTTGGTCTTCAACAAATTTGATTTTTTTTTTCTCGAGATGCATCTCAAGATTTTTCTCAAGATGCATCCTCCAACTGCCTCCATGTAAAAATTGGATTCCGCCTCAATCCTCCAAAATCATCCGTAATTTCTTGGATGTACATGTATGCACTGGAGGGGTGGCCACTGCCTCAATCCTTCAGAATCCTCCAGCAGTCACTGTTAATACGTCGAGGCAGTGCCACTGATATCCTGGAGCAGTGCGGAGGATTTCCAGTATAATCTAGGCTTAAATTTGTGCATGGCAAAGCAAAATAAACACAAGGTACAAACCTTAGATCTTGACACAATGCATCCTCCAAAATCAGCCACACATTTTTGCCATTCAGCTTCAATCCTTCGATTTTTGGAGGATTTTGGGAGGTTAATAGGGTTAATGACATTGTTTTAATAGGATACTGCAATTACAGTTCTTTGCGACGAATACAATTAACATTTTACACTATGCCAGACAAGAGTGTTTGCATCTTTTCATGACGTTATAACAACATATTTGCTTTGTAGCTGAAATTCCAAAGCCTTAGTTGGCATACTAGGACTAAAACAAATATGATCCGAAAGTATTTTGTTACCTGATCACATTGGGCTGTCAGGGCAATATTTGGGGGAAATAAAGTAGACGTTTCGCTTTTTCCGTGTCACGTTTCACTTTCCATATTGGCTCAAGTTCTCTCCAGTTCCAAGTCACGGACAGGTGAAATCTTTTTCTAAGTTGCCAGCGGCGGGTTAACCTGCCTAATTTCCAGGCAGCTGGGGTGCAGGAAAATAAACAGAAAAACAAATAAAAGCAAGAATGCTAGGAGTTATTTATTGTGGGGGCTGCATTTTCATAAGTGTAATTGTTGTCGTTCATTTTAAGAATTTGTTGTCATCACAGAGATTGACAATATTAAAAGGATTTCACAATTTGCCATAGGCATTGAATACAATTTTATGAAAAAGGCCATTGGTTTTTTTAAAATTAATGCATGTACAACCAGATGGGCCTCTTTTAATTTTTGGTCGTTCTCTTGCAGCGAGTTGTGCCTTTGTAACGTTTTCAACAAGACAGAGCGCCCTCAACGCCATCGCTGCACTACACCAGTCAACAACAATGGAGGTATACATGCGTAACAAATACGTACTTGAATACTACTTGTGTATATTTCTTTCTTGCACTGGGTTTTACCCTTCATCGACAATCTATTATAAGCATTAGTACAGCCGTCCTAGAGCTTGTGAGAACAACTTTCTCAGGTAATTTAGATTTGATTTTGAACCCAAAGCCTACTGCCTCTAAAAATCTTGCCAGAATTTGCTGGATGTCCAAATCTACTTGTAAAAGGCAGTGCCAAATACCAAGAATTAAATCTCTCTGACTTCAAAAGTTTTTTTTTATTTTTTTATTTTTGGGATTATGTTCATATTATATAATTTATTCACACACTTAAGGTATTTATATTGGATGGCTTTTTTTTCAGGGGATACAAGAATATATTGCACAAGTTGTAACAATATTACACAAAGATGAGTGCAATATTGTTATAGCAAAAAAATGCAATATTGTTATACAGCAAGTGCAATATATTCTTGTATCCACCCAAAAAAATGTAAGGGCAACTGTGAGTTTCTACACTCTTGATTGTGCGGGAACTAGCGAAATTTGTTAAAATGCTCGGATGAGGACAATGTCAAAAACCCTATCGTCCTCAATCGGGTACTTCTACTGACATAATATTGCAGTCGTCCGTGGAACTTTTTACGAAAGCATATAATACGCTGATTTATTTTTACCACTGGAAGCCTGATGCAAGTAATAATCATAATTATCATCTCTGAACATATGAAACACTAAACCATTTTCCATTTTTATGCGATAATTATCTCTGTCAGAAACCATAAAATGAGAAGCTAATCTCGTTGTCAGTAAACAAGCTGGGGAAGTAAAGCATTTGCATATAAATAGTTTTTGCAGGCCAAACGGCTGATTCTAAATCCGCAGAGCAAATATTATGCTTACTACTTTTTTGTTCTCTTCTGTAAATGCGTGGGTTTAATTGATCCACACACAGGCATAAATTATCTTCTTGATGTTTACGCTGCGTACTGGTCTTGGATGACAAACAGACCAGGCTGTTTGCGTACTCCCAAACTACATACGATGCAGTGACCCAGTCATTATTGCAGGGTTCGAAATTAGCGGTAGCCCGCTAGCCAACTGCTAGTCAAAACAGCGGCGGGCTAGTCAAACTATTCCTTAAGAAGCCCAGCTGGCGAGTCAAACAACTATTGGGATACAGCAAAGATGAACGGACAGGAAGAAACAAAATAATTATTAAATTCAGAAAGAAAGCCTCATCAATTTGTGTCTAATTTTATGGTTAAATTATTAGTTCTGTTTATTAAATACTGACAAAATTGCCTCAGAATTGAGCCTGAAAATGCGCCATTTTGTAGGCCCTATTTGAACCAGAAAAGCAAGGTGGGCTAGTGAAAATGCCTCGTGCTAGTTAAGAGTCTGTTTCAGTAGCCCAGCTGGCTAGTGAACAAAAAAGTTAAGGTGGAACCCTGCATTATTGTATGCTCTAGCACACTGTGTAACCGGCATGTAGAGAAATCTTCGCATTATTAGTACACTTCAATCAAGATTCTTTTTTTTTAAAGATAAAATATAAAAACAGAGAAAGGATCAGAGAAAATCCTTGATGGGATTGAACTGTGGACAAGCACTGTGGTTGCTCCTAGAATGAAATTTGTACGTATCTCGGAAGACAACATCTCGAATCTTGAATCAATGACACCTCCGCCGCACTTAGTTCTGAAAATGCGTAGAGCAACAACTAACAGTGTAAGTGCTTAACAGCTTGGTTTAATGAGAGGTGTTGAGAGTCTGCTGAACGGTCTCCATGTGTTACTTGAAGCGGATGTATCAGGATTCACCGATACAGGGTTATACAGGGTACCAGCTAAGCAACCGTAATGGCTGACATGTTTATTGTAGGTCACACGTCAACACAATCAAATAAGCCTTTAAAAGCCGTGCACAAAACCAACTGAGAGGTGACGCTCACGGGGGCGAGCGTTCGGAAACTTATTCAGCCGCGTAATGCGCTGACGGGAAAGAGATGTATTGAATTCCAAAGACTCTGAAGTCCCAACTAAAAAAAAAAAAAAACCTGATTTAGGGGAGCCGATGTTAAGCACCGAAAAGCTGAAATGAATCGTGTCAATCAGTTTGCGCCCCGTGGAAGGATCGAGCCATTCCGGGCGCAGCGCGCTACCCGTATCAATGTCAGTCTTTCCGCAGAGTCTTTTTACTAGTTTAGCGTCCCAGTTTGTTCCCGGGCAGTGTGTCGGGAACCAGAGCCAGCATCAAATGTTTCACTGCTGCGATCCTCACACCCTGGGAAAAAAACCTGTCATTATCAACTAATACTGTAATGGAATAGCCCGTATTAATGTCAGTTTCTGTCAAGATATTGTGAGTTACGAGGTTTTTTGTCCCTTCTCTTCCGTTTAAGGCACGTACATGTAGTAGGGATTTGTGTTTTAATCACATACACGCATTTGCTATGGTGCTAAATGTCAAGTAGCCTTTGCAAAAGTGAGTTTTGTATTGCTAAGTAGTCCAGTGCTTTGTGTTGGTTAGAACATATCTACCTCAATCACGCTTACTCCTTTATGATGTTAATGGCATATACACAAAGTTCCTCCTTCAAAAAAATTTGCGTGGGGGGGGGGGATACAGTTTCAGCATATCGGGAGCATTATGACAATCCTACTTACATGTAGTTGTCAGAATCAGTCACACAAGGTTACATGTATTTGAGTTGTCTTGCACAGAATATTTTGCCCCAGATACCTACATGTAGCTGAATGGAAGAGCTAACGGTAGATTGCTAAGATACCTGTACACTTTGCACAGTGGTTAATGGGAGCAGGACTTAGATGGGTCATCATACATGTACATTTATGCACATTAGATTTTGTAGCTTATCTGAGATGGTCTTTGAGCCTGGGGTGGGGGAAGAAACCGTCCCTTATCATCATAAAGGGTAACATCCTTTAAACACAATGATGGTGAGCCAAAGTCCTGTTCTGGATCCCTGCTCTGTAGGAACCCTGGACCTTACTACGGAAGAGCATTTGAAAACACTTTTTGAGTTATCAAATATCCGCTCTAAAATCTGAGTCCTGAGTCATGAATATTGAGTCTGAATCTTGAGTGGCAAATCTTCTACATTTACTAAATCATAAAAGTGAATTTTATGGTACTAAACCTGACCGTATCAATGTGTTGCTATTTTTCTCCCTTTTCCTTTTTTTTTATTGTCAACTTCAGTTTTCTTTTTTCCAATTTGATGAACTACAAATACACCATTTTTTTGCGAATTAATACATTAACTGTCTCAGAACTCAACCCATCAAACCCCGAAGGCATGTGTTGTTGGAATCTGTCGGGATGGGTACAGTACCCCGAAACTTACAGTCTTTTACATTGGGTTGGCACACCTCCAGATACAAAGTCAGAAATATGTGTGTGTGCAGTTTCCCATATGGGTGTTGGAATTTGCCAGGATGGGTATGGTTCCTAGAAAATCATGCTAGGGAGTTATTGTTAAGCAACAAATGTAAAAAAAAGAAGAAAAAGACTTAGCCTAATACTAATATTTTCTTTTATTCTTTAGGGCTGCACCTCGAAGCTTGTGGTCAAGTTTGCCGACACAATAAGAGAGAAGGAACAGAAGAGAATCCAGGCCATGAACCAGGCGCTTAACAGCGGACTCGCCAACAACTTCAGCAGCCAGTACTTTGCGGTATGACCAGGGCCTGCATTTGTGAAGTGTTCTGTCAAAACCCACTCGCTTCTTGGAAGAGCCTGAAATTAAGCCAAAAATAATATTGGGGGTCAACCAAAAAAAATTGTCCCTGCAATTTTTTTGCGATATATTTGAGTTTCTACATACGTTTATTAATACACAGTAAAACTTCAGACTGTAATTTTGCCTCCAAAGAATTTTTGTTTTGATAATCAGTAGAGGTGTGTACCAGTCAAAGGAATAACCAAAATCTAACAGCCAATTCCTCTGTTATCCTCTTTTTTGACATCACAAAATATAAAATGGACAATTTTTTTCAAGGAAAGTCTGTTGTAAACATTTTTATTATTATAAAATAGAAAATCCAAATTTAAACAGTATTCTAAAAACTGGGGTTTGTTAATCGGCTACCGGAAAAGTTTGTTTTTGACAGAACACATCACATTTGCTTCTGTCTTTCTGTTATGAACAACCCTGCTTCCTATATCTGTTGGCCAAGCCTTTACAAAATATTTTTTAAAAATGGGATTTGACTTGGGAAATTGGAAGCTGTCTCCTTGCCATCAACTTTGCAGCTTGTTTCGTGACACTGATCATCAACTCAACACCTTGTCCCTTTGCCTTGCAACCACATCAGTGTTTTCTTCTCACTCCTTTCCGATACTTTTCCTGACTTTTAGTCACTTCAAAACATATTGTGCCTTTTTTTAGGGGGTTAGCTTTTTCTGGTCCATTTTGAAAGACGTGTGTCTTCTTATCTTTAGCTTCATACTATAGTATCTTGGTTTTGCCTCCTTTTGTTTCCAACTGTCAAACCTACATTGTTAAGGGGACATTTTCTTCATCAGTGGTTTCACAGTTCAGTGAAGTTTGAAATAAGCATTGCTTGGTGCCTGTAGGGAGTTTTTCTGAAGGGATATTAAAAAAATGTAGAAAATACTACACATTCAAAGTCTGTGTTTGGGTTGAGTGTACTTTCTACTCATCCACCCAAAAATGGTAGTTATGAAGAATGACAACCCACAAGTCCCCCCCCCCCCCCAGTTTAATACTTTAATGTGTTCTTTGGCATTGCTGAATGTAGAAACTTAAGTCACCAATTATAGTGACGCATAATCAATTGATTTCTCAGGCATTTTGTCACGGTCATTAAATTCCTATGCCCGCTGGTTACAACCCAGCCCTACCCCCCCCAAAAAAATCCCTAACCCCCCCCCCCCTTCCCGCAGTTTCAGATTCTGTTGTCAGTCGGTGGACAGCACAAAGCATCAGCCGCCCAATCAATGCTTCTGCAGGATTCTATCCCAAGAGCGCGATAGACCAAAAAAAAAAAAAAAAACATCATCCCTCCTCATGCAAAAACCCCAGGGTGTTTGGAATGTACGCTCTCTCGGCAAATTTAACAGCTGTCTGCCGCTTGGTTCCCGGAGGCCAGCACAGATTAAACGCTTGTTCCTCCCAGCTCAGCTTGGCCAACTTCTTCTCCGACTAGAAGCCTCGGAATTCATTCATTGAAATTACAAAGACAATGCCGAGGGTTTTAAGAAGTGATTAATCAGTGGGTAGCACCGGCTTTTTTTTTGTCCGGTACATGGTAATGCGGTCTCGTACCTCGGGGTCTAGCCTTAAAGATGTACAAAGTTAGGCCTTAACTTTGTTAATCTTCCCCCCCGAAGATAGTGGCTTAGATTTCTGAAGAACAGTGTATTGCTGGCTCAGACAAAAATGGACAACAAATAGCTTCTTTCCCCCGTTCCTATTACTTTTCAATGGTTGGGCCATAGTTTTGCAACGGGCCTCACATTCCACTTTCCAGCTGGTCTCGCATTCCTTGCGGATGAAAATCACCAGGAAGTTTCTCTTTGGAGCGTAACTGAACTCTTGGTAGCTTTCCTTAAGTATTATGTCATCAACTTTATTGTTATATATATCAAAAGTTCTTGGATGTCAAATGGATTCAAAAGACTCTGTCTCTTCATTCAACCATTTTGTTTTGATTGACCTGCATAAAAAACCACAGGATCCTCAATTGCTGTGCATGTACATGTACATTGTACTTCTTGGAGCCAACAATGTAAATTTATATATTTTTTAGGGGGAATACCAGTACATACAGGATTTGAATTAAGAGAGAGGAAGGGTTTGAAGTGCAATATGTTTCATACCAGGTTTCAAATGTCGGTCTTTAATGTCTACTAATCCTTTGCAGTGCACTTGTACTTTCTTTATTTTCTTCCAATTGATTGAGCAAAATACACAGACATACACATCCTTTAAAAAATTACATGTTTTCGGAAGTGCATTTAATGTTGGGGCTTCGAGCTTTATAAATAAGAATATTCATCCTCTGCAACATAATAAAGTCATTTTGATGCCTGGCAGGTTCGCTCGTGCATGGGAAGATAACAGTCAAAAAGGATGGGGGAAAAAAATGCCAAAGTACATCAGCTTTCCGCTTGGGTATTCCTAAAGTTCATTCGCTTCACGCCAATGTTTCCTAACGGCATTAAGACACGTCGATAACTTTGCCCCTTTCCCGAAGGCGAAATTGGCAGATCAGAGTGCACTACAGTGGAAGAGTTCTCGTCTTTGCTCTGCACTGCCCATCAGATTGATTTTTCCATTTTCAAAACGTCCTGGTTTGTGAATGTATGTTCTTTCTGCAGAAAGCAGAAAGATCCAGCACATACATGTATGTTTCAGTTAAGTTGAAATATTTCGGACCGTTTCTATTTCGTTGTTTTTGTCAAAAATTGTAACATATCGCAGATAAAACGACAGGGTTTGAAGTGACATTTAATAGCGTCTTCATTAAATCCAACTGAAATCAAATTGCTGTGCATGGGGCAGTCTCTCCAGTATCATGACATATTCGCTTCGCTTAAATTATAAACTTTTCATGAAGTTAAGATTGTAATGTTACAAAATATTTTTGCAGTGCTGTATCAAAGCAATATGAATTACCCCAGGGCAAGGCTGCGGGTTTTTTCCCCGAGTCATACTCAGTTTCTTTTTTTTTCTGGTTTATTTCGGATTTCTTCAATCTGAGTAAGATTAGGAAACCACCAGTGTTGGTATGACTTGGTATTGGACACTCTGACCTCTGTTGATTGGTATCCCGCAGCTTACACGGCACAACTTCATGTCCCCTTTGTGACCTGCCTGCAGGGCACCGGTGGAGAACTCCACTGGTTAATGAGTTACTGGATTCTGTATTACATGTACTGTACGGTACATGTACTTTACAAAATGCGTACAGTGTGTCTACAGTGACCACATGTACATTTTGGACACATACATGTAGATATAAAGAATAAAGGACTGAAATTAGAAATTACAAGTAAAATTTAACAAGACGGCTGTGAAGCAGAAGTTTTTATTAACAGTCAAAAACAAATGTTTGTGTTGCATAAGTTAAACTCAAGAGCTTGAACAAGCAAGTGTGTGAACACACACAAAATAGGACATGGATGCTGGTTTACATATCTGAGATGTGCAAACAAGCAGAAGTACTCTTTCACATAAAACGTGAAAATTTTTATTTCTTTCATTGTTATTTTTTTCTTGTGGATACATTTGCGTTAACCTCTTGCCATTGTTTTCCCAGAACAAGGCTTGATTAACAAATACTTCGGTTACATGGATTGTGTACACGAGGATTTTTCATACATGTCTGTACATTTTCAGAAACAAACAAGATCTTATCGATCCCATTTGGTCCAATAAGCAATCCAGCAGACTGGCTTTGCACCACATTCTGTTTCCCCCGGAGGCTTGCCGCCACTGCAGTAATTCCATTTGCTCCAAAAAAATATGGCTGCATGTCGCTCAGTTAAAGGAAAGTAAAACAGATAACGAGCCCCAGGGGTGGGGAATAGCAGGAGAGGGTACCTGCCCACCGGTGGTGAGGGGAGGGGAAGGGAAGGGAAGCGCAGCGCTGGCAAAAGAACTCAAAACATACGTTGGTCCTCTGTATCGAATCAGCGGCCTGGATTGCAGCATTATCAACTCTCGGCTTCTTCGCTTCTCCGTTTTGGGACACAGTGGCCGACAGACCGTGTGCCGTGAGCTATGCTTGAGGGAGGCTTAATTTGTTGTTTGGTCTCACCTGGCGCGGAGTTTGTAGGATTATTATCGGACCGTGCCGACTAAGTCACTCTCTGAACCGTTAGCATTTCAAGACAAGTTGACCGGGATTGCGGGGAAGCCAAAAATAACTTGAAAACGACTTTAACAAAATGAGAGATAACGTAAAGGGATACGTGTACATATGCTTTACTAGTATATGCATGGGCGTCGCGAGGGGGGGGCAAGGGGGGACACTTGCCCCCCCCCCCTGGAAAAGCCAAAAAAAAAAAAAAAAAAAAAGGAAGGGAAAAAACAAAAAACAAAAAAAAAGAGGCGCGAAGACAAAGTGGTGTAAATGTAATGAGTTGGGGGGGGGGGGGGAAATGTCCCTGCCCCCCTCTAAAACTGATAAATCGAGAATGTGTTGAGAAATAGAATCATTTTTTGGCCAAAAAATTGTTTTGACCCCCTCTAGAAAAAATCCTGGCGACGCCCATGAGTATATGTACACGTGCACTTTTGATAAGTGCCATTAAAAAAAAATCTACATGTGCGTGCACTTTTGATAAGTGTCATTAAAAAAATCTAGTTCAAATGTCGATGCAAGTACCGGGGTACAGTTCCTTCACTGGTTACCAATAGCTGTGTACATTGTAAACTACAACAGGGAGCCAGGACCGAGAAATGTCTTGATGACGTTTTGGCCATTGACAATGCTATTAGTGAGCAGGTGTAAGTTGCATGTACGTCATGAATCAACCGTTAGGCAACTTAATGTTCCCATCTGCACTTGCTTTTTAATGTAAGTGTAGGTTAGCCTGCATGTATAGTCGTGTTCCCTAACGTGGCGCACTTCGAAGCTTACCCAAATTTCCTTGTATAGTGTTGCCAAACCTCTTTGTTGACAAACCTCAAATTCATGCAGTAAA